CTCTGGTTTACTCTAACTCCTCAGCGAGTGACCCAATTTTTGTCACAGACTCATTCCCACTGTGCCTGCATTACTAGCACACAAACACTCTCACAGAACAAGTCAAGCCAGTGGAGGTAGAAGGGCCTCTCCTCAGGCAATAATATCATCCGTAAAGGAATGTGACTGGCAAACAAGCTTCAGATTCATCATGCTCACGTTTTGGAGGCTCTTTGGGAGGGACTACAAATGACAGGCCAGGATCTGAAAGATAGATGGGCTACTGGCTTTTCCACCCCTCTCCTCATACTCAGTTAATTCACAGACCTAAAAATAACATCAGCTGAATTCTAGAGGAAGAAAGAGGGAGCTGCCCAGGCCTGTGCATGCAGCCCTGTTTGTTTTGGGTATACTCTCAGCCCAGCGACGGTTTCTCCTTCTCACGTGACTTTGATGAGACAGAAAACACCAGGCTGGGTTTTTGGAGAAAGGGATGATGTAGTCCAATAGCCAGAGCAGCTCTTGCATAATTCAGACCGTGCCCATAACCTTAAACAAAGTTTACCACATGACTGTGCCTGCAGTTCAGCCCTTCAACTTCCAGTATTTGCAAATGGTAGAAAGGAATCAAGAACAGCTTGAAACAGGGTTTGGAAAACGGGTGACTGGATAAACATGTCTTGAGACTTTCCAGCAGAAGGTTTAGAAGTGTATTGTGGTAACAGAATGAAGCATCCTGCAATGGATTTTTACTTTATCAGGCTCTAAGAGAGACCATTAGCAGAATATCATCAGGAGAGATGGGGAAGGCTCTAAACCAAAGCTCGGGACAGGAGGGTTGCCCACTCAAGCTCTGAGCCATGACTCCCACCTACAGGATCTCAGGAGCACATGGGATTTTTCACAGCATTACTGAGTAACACTAAAGCAAACATGAATGTGAAGTCCACAAGATGAATGCATCCAAAATGCCTCCTTGGACCTCAGCCAGGAAGAGGCCTATGTGCTTACAGTTCTAGCCCTCGTGCATGCCTCTGGGGGAAAATCTCATCCCTGGAGACCCAACCCAGCTGCTTCCCAGGGCTGCCATAGCTATAAATCCTCCTAGTTATGCTTTTAACAGCCAGCCAGTCAAAACCCACTCAATATGGTTCAAAGCTGAAATTTTTATAACACTGTGAAAACCAGACTGGTATCATGTGATAAACTCAAGCAAACTGCAGGTTGAAGCCATGGAGAGCTGTGCACACACCTTTTCACTGCATCCACCTGGTCCTGAGTGTAGCCCTTGGGGGCCTCCCCACCAGCCTCTCCATTGGCCGATGAGAAGTCTCCGCTCATTTTCTTGAACTGAGAGTTTGTGGACTCCCTGGATTGGGACTGGCCATTGGCCGACTGCTCGTTCTTGTTGAGTGATTCAAGCAGAACTGAAACATGAAAGAGATGAAAAGGAATGCAAAAAAGTAGTTAAGACACTGCCAAGCTCAACCTGCCCTTCTAGCTCTCCCATAAGAGAGACCCCTCTTCATCCCTGCCACTGCTCTAAGACCCCCCCACCCTTCGTCAGGAAAACCCTCCTCACCTTTTCACCCAAGGAACCCCCGAGTTCCTGCTGCTTCTTGCCCAGATGGGAGGGACTACTGCTGAGGATACTGCCTGCTTCTCCCTACGCACACAACCTCCACCAAAACCCCAGGCCTACACAGCTGGACAGGCCGGGAGCCACAGCAGATCACCAAAGATCTCTCCTTAACAGCAAAGCATTTCTACATTTGTTCCTTAGCATATTATAAAGCATGTTATTTTTTCTTTATCTCCTGCCTTTGAGATTCTACTGTGCTGGGTAAATTCTGGGACAATGTCATATCTTTAGAGAGCTTAGAAATAATACTGTGGGATGTCAGTCACAGGGGGACACTCCCCTTTTGGGGACAGAGAGCTGCAGCACTGACTGCTGCCAGCACATGATAGGACCTGTAACACATGAGTCAGGAGGGTGCTTTGTTCTCTGGCTCTGTCTTACCTACATATTCAGTGTGTGTAGAAGCAGCTGTGAAAAACACCTTCTCTCTCAATTACTGAGAATGAATTGTGTAAATTCAGTTTCCCTTTTCTTAAGAGGAGTGCACATGCGTATCGGGTAAACTGCTGCGGACTATGGCCTCCTCCTTGCAAGGCTCAGGTGCTGCCCTCCATCCTTTCCAGCCAAGAGGGGACAAACATTCAGGCCTGGCCTAAACACACAGCTGCCAACACTGTGAAACCAACCCAGAGTCCTCCAAGCACAGAAATATCTTTCCACCAGGCATTTCCCTGGCAGGTGGATAAGCACCACCTTTTTAAACGATTTTTGTCTTTTATGAACTGAATATCAGACTGACCTCTTCACACCTGTAGTTTCTGAAGTTTATGTACTGCCTCCCCATTAAAAAGAATAGACAGAATAAGCACAAGTAATATGCTTAAAAGCAGACAATGTTATTTACAAAGGCATCAGTAACTTGACGAGCTTGCAGTCCTTTATCCAGAGCCTAGAACTGAGAAGGACGTTTCATCTCCTGCAGATTGCACGTTACAGACCTTGCACTATGGGGGTATCACGTTCTTTATGCAAGTGCAAACAAGGCTTGCAGGCCAAGAGATGAGTCAAGATATCCTATCTGCCCCGCAGAGCTTGTAGGGGCAAGAAAAAGCACTTGGTAATCCGACAGCCAATACAGGCGATTGTTACAGGATGAAGGATAAAAATGACAGCAGGCTAATGAGCAGGAACTCACTGGATGAGCTTCTGAGCTTGGGGGCTTCACAGGTTTTGGCTTTCAGAAAAATAAATCCTTCTCTTGCTTGTATTTATACCACTAGATTGTTCACAAAATTATAATCTTTGCCTTTGCTCCTTCTAAACCTGGAGCAAACCGCCAGGCACTTTTAAAGCTTGTCTCACGATGCTGCCCCTCCACCCACCCCACTCTTGCTGTTTTGGGCTCAGTTCCCTACAGCTTGCCAAGAGATTTTTAGTGGTGTGGTTCCCCAAACCAACCACAGCAGTCCACCTATGGCCACAGCTCAGTCCTGTTTTGCTTTACAGCCCCGGTCCTACTGCTTCTGCATCCCAAAGCCATGCTGGTGCTTTGTGCAGTCATAGCACAGTGCAAATTCATAAACTACTGAAGCAGCGACGGCTAAATTATTTTTCAGTTCTGCCAACTCAGCTCCCTACCAAACATGTGCTTTGCATCACTTTTCCTTGCTTATTAGCCAATATTTCTTCAACTTCTGTTAATTTTCCCAAAACTCCTGCTTAATGGTGACCAGTGGGACTCTATATGCCAGTGTGACTGACTGCATTTACGTAGAAGAAAACTTCTTGCTGAAATCCCCTTGCAAAACCATTTGCTGATCCTGTGATGACACCTGTAGGATCCAGCCGGGGTCAGAGTTTGAAGCGCCGGCTGTGCAAGGTCCACGTTGCTGAATGTTGCCAAATCCAGTGTAACTCATAAGAAAGAGTAGATTTCCCAGCGGCACACAAACTACGTAAAGACTCAAGGGCCACCGTGTAACTGTGGGATCTTTGGCTACATTTCCCAACTACAGACCCAAAGCACATGAGCGAGCAGGACAGCAGGACATTAAGCAAAGGGTCCCTGGGCGGCAGCTCAGACGTGAAACCAGCAGCTTGGTTGGGTCTGGCCACAAATTAGCATGCTGTATTTAACATTAACCTGCCCTGCTGCCCTCCTTTCCTCGGCTTTCCTCCCCTGTACTCCAGTTCTCTAAGCGTACATATCCCACCTTTTATTCTGGCTGCCCCAGGCCACAGAATTAAGACAAAATGTTACTGCTTTACATCGCAAACTGGTGCTTGCTGTCATCCAGATCTGCTTTTCTGGTGCATGCCCTAGCAGAGTGCCTCAGAGAGCAATCCTTGTCAGGGTGAGCCTTTCTGTGTGCTATCTCATGCTTTTTCCTCCAGAAGTCACTTTTCCTACCCAGTAATTTTGCAGAATTATAAACTCTGAATGGGAAGGACAACCACACTGCACACAGAACAGGCCAATACACTACATTTGAGGGAATGGGAAGAGGCCTGGTGCAACCAAAGAAAGGATTACAGGAAGTCTTGGGCTCTCTACAGGACACACGAGCTGCAAAACACAGCCAAAGAATCAAAACTCAGATAAGGTCCATCAGAGCAAAAAAAGGAAAAAAAATAAAATAGTATCTACAGCCCTTTGCACAAATTTCTGCAACACAGAGAAATAACTGTGTTTAGCTGCTTCTGCAAAGCACTTCCCAGTTGCTTTTGTGACATATTTATTACGTACACCATAAAGCTTCCAGGAAATGAGATCGTTCCTCAAAACCCATAAAACTGGCAGCAGGTCTTCAGGAAAAAAGATTATTTTTTATGCGTGCTGAAATGGAACTGCAGTAGCCACGCTAGGATATTTACGTGGGGTGTACGAAACGAGAAGCAACACTTGCTCAAACATGGCCTGTTTGCCTGCCTGCAACCTGCCCAAAACCGCTCCCCAGGGCCAGCGCGGTAGCACCTCTGTGGGAGGGATGGAGCTGCAGGGCAGTGGAGGGGGAGGAGAGGGAGAGGGGGGCTGCTTTCTGCTGCCGCACCAAGAACTTCCTTCCCGCCTTGCCGAGCCCCTCTCTCCCCACAGCGACAACCTCGCAGCGACGCTCCCGCCGGCGGCCGTGACCGCGGCCCCACAGCCCACCCGCGGGTCGGGGGCCCACGACCAGCGAGGATTTCGGCAGGCACTAAAAGCACCGCGCTCTGCTCCTGGCATCCCTCCCCCGCTCCCCTCTCCGGCCAGAAACCCTCCCCTCGCCCCAGTCGCTATGGGGCAGCTCCCGGGAAGGCAGACGCCGGCGGGCAGGGGTTAGGGCCGCTAACCAGCTGCCCCCCTCCCCGGGCGGCCCCGTCTCCCCCCGGGGACACCCACCGAG